ACTAATGCGTACAAAAAGAAATCCATAGATGTTCTTTTTTCAGTGACTTCAATACATCTTTAACAGTTCTCCAATAGACATTGGCTGTATTTTTTTTTCTACTAGGATCTCTAAATAAATCTAAAGCATTGTTCTTATTTTTACCGAGTTAGAGGTTCTGAAATATAAAATGGTTAACTTTACATACACCTAACCATAAAGGACCAGCAGCTCAGAAAATAAGCCAGAGTGAACTACCACTTATCACACTAGAGGGTGCTAAAGAGACCCCAACTATATCAAAAGCATTAACAAAGGGGCAAAGTCTGGACATGTTCCGAAGAAATGCATTAACCGTGTCTTTGTTGCATATGGCTGCAGAAACAGAAACAGTTTTTTGCTCAAAAACAAGAGAACATCGGTCTGCCAACATGCCCAAGCACAGCGCTGCATTCTCCATCTGACTTACTGAAGAGCTAAACTGGAACACTTGAAACCTACTTCACATTATCTAAACTTTTGGTTGTGAACCAAATTCTGATGGAATGATTAAGGAAGAGATATGGTGCAGTGGATATGAGACATGAAGACATCTTCAGTTTACTACTACATTTAACTATCTAGCAAATGTCCATTCATTTTCTCACTAGAAGGAAATAAAATGTTGGATGTGTCGCAGTTACTGGATGCTGCATGTATGTTTAATCTAAATTGTAAATAAGTGAAGTAAAATATTTATACTTTGTGCATCGCATGATCAGCTTTTATGGAAATGGATATATTTTTGTAAAGCACAAACAGCTAAATCCCCACCCTGAATGCTGAGAATTTGCAGGTTTCACAACATCTCTTTGCATCAACAGTTTGAAGAAAAAAGGAAGTTGAACATCCTCCACAAAATTCAAACTCAGACTCAGCATAGAGAATCGAAAATGTAACAAGCATTAGAGTGAAGATGCAAATAAAAAAAAGTGTTTTTAATTTAGTAAATCACTGCTTTGTGAGTTTAATTCAACCACACAAACACAGAAAATTTAAATCAGTGAACAAAGAGTTTAAAACACAAACGTCCGTCTTTTGTCTGTGTTAAATGGCAACTCAGACAAGCCATGCAAGAAACCATAATATCTTTTAACAACTATTTAAAATATTCCTGAAGTAAAGGGTTTCTGTCAAAATAGGACATATAAAAACTAGTTTCTGCTTTTGTTTTCAGTAGGTTAAATGATGACAATGAATTTACTGGAAAACAAATCAATCAGGCAGCTGCAGTTCATCTAAAATGGAAAATGGATTACATTACACCAGTTCTTAGATCACTTGTTTCTAAAAGGTTTTATGTTTAGTCAGTGAAACACTGAAAGGGACTGGGACCCACATACATTTCTGAGTTTCTTGGCAAATATGAACCACAGAGACAGGCATAAAGGCAGTGACCTTTCAGTCTACCTTTGTCCAGTCGTAAACCATGGCCTCAGACTTAGAGGAGCTGCCTCTCATCCCGGCAGCTTCACTCTGAGATGCAAACCGCTCCAGTATATGTAGAGTTCATGACTTAAAGAAGCCAACAGAACCACATTATCTGCGAAAAGCAAAGATTAGATCCTTTCTCAAACCAGACAACCTTCTCTCCGCAATTATACCTTGAGATCTTGTCTATGAATACAGCAAACCGGATTGGTAAGAAGGGGCGGGCCTGGTGGAATCCAAGGGAAGACCTGACTTTATGCCAAGAATGTGAACAAGGCACTTATTTTGGGTGTACAAAGATTGGATATAGCCACCTAGATTACCCATACTCTTGAAGCACCCCTGACAAAAATACCTAGGCAATTCTGCAAGGCTAAAGCCACATTGCTCCACCCGGCTTAGTACATAAACCACAGATAATCATGGTTTTATTTTTCAAGTTTTTCCTGTACCTTCATTATGTTAATATTCGCAAAGTCCACCCAAGAAAGGACTGCTCCTGTAAGACCAGAATGCTACAGTTTTAGTCAGCGCTTCATTTAACATCTCTATACACAAGATTTGCATAAAGCTATTCAATTGGCTAGGTCCCCCAACCTTAAACAATGTGAAACATTTTCACCCAGTAACATCGAGCTAAACACCTTCTCAAGCAGGCATCTTTTAAACAATACAGGAGTTCAGTCACATGATAGCCAAATGTTTTTCTTTTGGAGTTCTTATTTGATGAAATAAATGGATATGAGACAAAAAGTAAATCTGATCAAAAACAGAACTATTTTGCACAGATAATTTATAGATAACAGAAGACAGGGCTACAAATCCATGGTATGTTTAACCTTATGATTTTTTTTTTTCCTGCAATGTAGTATGTTCTATGAAAAAGCTGCTGCCAGCAAAGTACAAAGTACAAAAATACACCAATTTCCTCACAGATCTGGTCTGAAAAGTTTCATTTGTTCTGCTATTATCTGGAGAAGGAGACTGTCAGGACAAGAAAGCAATAAATCAGTACCTGGTTTTTCCAATCCCACTTATTGGTTTTTTGCAACAGCTGTGTATTTTTATTTTTTTATTTTTTTTCTGAAGATTCCTGAACAATGTAAGCATTTTCTAACAAAATTAATAACTAAACTATTGCGGGAGTCATAATTTGAAATATAAGTTTTAAAGTCAGTCTTCTTGTCAAACATAAACTGAGAATGAGCTGCTGGACTAAACACTTAAAGATAAGCTTACATCTTCAGTATGGCCTCTTTATTTTTTATTTTTCGAAATGCAGCATCAGTGTTGTAAAAACTTATTTAAGACCTCCAACAGTTTGTGTTTATTTCATAGGATTTGCTTAGACTTTTGTTTTCAATAGAGCAGTTCAAGCAGCATAATTAGATTTACCAACCTTCTTTCAAACTTGAGCCAAAATAGGCGGAAATATATCAGTGGAACTAGTTATCTCTAACATCAAATTTGGGGTTTGTGTCTTTTCTTTCTTTTTTTCAGTTGTATAACAATTACACGTAGATATGTTGCACTTCTTAATGACTTTGGTTTCTTCAAATTAGATTTGCTCATAAAGTGGAAAACATAAATAGATCAGGCCTCTTATTTTCTCAGTGCCACAATTTCAAATCTAATTTTATTTTGGAACTTTATAGTTATCACAAAAAGGCAGGTGTTATATTTTTGAGACTTTTAACTTGGTGATAATTTGCCAAAACCCTTTGCTTTCTCCTTTTAATAAGTTCTTGTTTTCTTTTTCAGACAACCTTTTTGCTTATTTGATAAGTAAAACTGAGCAGTGGCCATTCCAAACTCCACAAGGCTTTGCAATCTCTGTTCTTGTCCTTGTAGGGGCCTTTAAATCCTAAAATGTTTGAAGGTGAAGTGGGATGGTTTATGAGATGAATTCCAGTTCCATCTGTTTATCTTGATCCAAGCTCTCCATCTGTTTTTATAGCACTAAGTGGAAACACAGCCCAGTAGCAGAAAATCAAATATTCCATCACATTCCAGATCTAAAGCTTCAGGTGCACTTCTCTGAGCTCAGTGGTTGATTATTCTTACATTAGTCACTGTATGAGAACACACTGCCATTATGTGAGTAACTATATGTGTAAGAGAGGGTTGGCCATAGGAAGGTTTCTCTGATCTTTTAATGACAGATAAGTGGCATAACACAAGATCCTCTCATTATGTCTTAACCAAAGAGGCATGTACATAACATGTGTACAATGTTAAAGTGAGACAAGTGAGGGGTTCATTTCAAGTCGTCTCACACACACGGTCCATCACACACTTGTACGTATGAACATGAACGCAGTCAAGTGTGTTCACTCGCACACAAGCAGATATTCAGCAGACTTCTCCCTGCTTGTGTTTCCTTGTGAGATGTCATTATACGATAAAGAGGAAGCCATCAGGAAACCGCTTAAGCACAACTTCCTGTCTGTTGCTATGGTGACTACCTCATTGCTGCAGTTGCAAAAGAGGTAGTAGCAGCCACAACTTTACTTGAGTAAATTTCTCGCAGACTTGCCGAGTGGGAGGCAGAAATAAAGAGGCAGGTGTATTTTGGTCCCAGCGGTGCGCTGGTGGGCTGATTCATGTCCGGACACTCCTCTCGATCCACCCTGACTCTCACGTGCCCTTTGACCCCTAACATCTGACAACAATTAACATGTGTGACTGTTCAGTGTGAATAGTCTGAATTGCAGCCAACAGGCCTTCTGTGCAGCTGTTTGTCATTCAGACAACGCACACAGATAAACAGAAATCTAGAAGTGGTGGGATACTTCCTGATTTGACAATGGCTCATTTCACTGCTTCAGGCTGGCGGACATGTTTGCTGTAGCAGCTAAAAGTGACTGCCTTGTAGTGAAATCTAGCAGTTTATGCTGAATTTAGCTCAGTAGCATCCTCTATATATATGTGAATTTAAATTAGATAATACTGACAACTTCAAAGAAAACCTCATTCATAAGAAAGATTTAACCATAAATTGTATGACTTCATAGGAGCAGTGAATATAGCCTCACTGAGGAAGGATCACAGTTTTGATAAAATGTTAGTTTATTCCATAGGAAATAGTTTCAGAGTAAAGATGAACTAGATGTAGATATTTGATGTTTATAAATTTATTTTCATAATTTCATCTCCAATAAAGAACAAAAGCTAAAATACTAACTGTGATACAAGAGTAAAAATACAGGAATTGCTATAAATGTGTATCACTGTGCAGCTTTTGAATTAAAATAAACGGATGAGAATGTCTAAAACTTAGGTTTTATTTTAAATAAAATTAAATATAAAATCTTTACAGACTGTATTTGGATCCAGCTGTTGAGCCTGGACTGTGCATGCACTTGAAGACAGGCTCATGGCTGCTCATTGTTTTGATTCTACCTTCAAAAAGAGACACATGGGGAGCACCATGGTGCTTTGCACCACTGACAGAAGCTACATTCCACCAAAGGTGTGTACACACAAAGGGGGTTAAGCCGCTCCCCTTTCAATCGACTGCATCACAGGATCATTGGCAAATTCTTTCAGAGCGTTTTCTACTCGTCAGAACAAGAAGAGGCACAACGTCAGCAGAGAGGTCAGACACAGGCATCAAGTGAGAGCGGCAAAGTTTTGGTGAGCAACAGAAGGAGAGAAATACAGGTTTTGAGAGTCTGAATTTGAATTTCAAAGCAATACAGCAGATAGGCCAGCGAGAAAAAGAGAGGGAGAAACACAGATAGAGAGAGACTCATACACACGCGGAGGGGTGTGTCATAGCAATTTAGTTCCTTAAGGAAGTAAAACTCAACATTATCTTAAGACAGGGTGGTGAGAACTGACAGAAGCGCTGCAGGAGGGCTGCTTTTATGGCTTTTGGTGTTTTTGTTGGTCAAGATGAAGGTACTCTGTTAAATTAACTTGCCTGTGCTGTCAAAGTGATACACAGAGCGGAGGGAGAGAGACATCTGACACACAAGGAGGGAGGGGGACTCAGCAAACACTCAGGTAAGACATTTCGGCTGTGTTCATTTCCTGGTAAAATAATGAAAACCAAGCTATCTTTTTACGTTCAATAACTTTCAAATCAGTTCAGACAAACTGTGTTATTATTGGCAATGAGCAAAGACAGACTCAGTCAGGGGATGACTGGAAACTGAGCGACTTCTCTCCACTTCCCCATCTTGAGTACAAGTTGAGAGATCTGATCGCACACAGTCATGCTGCAACAAGTTACACTGACAGGAGCATATGTGCAGCTCACATTTTTGTTTGTACAGGCTGAGAGCGAAATCTCGAGGAAGTGGACTTTGGCAATGTAACTGGCTGGTTTTGATTTGTTGAAGGTTATAAGATACTACTAAAGACAGCAACAGGTTTCAGTGTAAAACTGTGGAACTCAAGTAAAGGACAAATACTCAACTAACTGCTCTGTTTCGCTTCCCGTTCAGAGCAGATGTGAGGAAGGCTGAAACTGCAACTGCTCGAAAGGTTGTGCAATTTTGAAAGAGATACTGCAATATGGACATTTGAAAGATTTCAAAACCCTTTCTTGTCTGCTATCTTCAGCTAAGTATAGTATGAATCTACTGTAAAAATAAAAAAGATTTTTTAATTAATTTGTTAAAAAAAACATTATGTAGGTGGTTCAACAAAAGATAAAGTTATACAACAGTTTGAGTGAAAAAAAGGAGCTCAAACTAGAGGTCTGTGCAGTGAAGTGACGACTCATCCAGACAAAAGGCTCAGCTTTCATGCCAAGAATCTTCATTATTATTGTTATTATTTCATGTTCCCTGGTTGATGACAGGAGAACATTTCCTTGTTTACAACATTCACCATCCTAACACAGTGATAAACCTTTCAAAAATGGCTTCCTTGTTTTTGGTATGTATTTGATATGATCATTAGCTGAGGTGCTTTAGGTGGCAACCTTTTCACTTTTACAGACTTCATTCCTTCATTAGTCCTGGGAGCAGTGATGAACGATGCTGAGGACATTGAGGTTAAACTAAAAAAAACATTTTTGCTTTCTAAGAAGAAAGTAAAATGGAGTTTGGCTGAATCAAAGAGGCCTCATCTGAGTCTTCTGAGAGTACTTTTTTTGTTTTAACAGACATGGTCTTCCTGATGCACAGGTTCATACATGCACCCAAACACTGTAGCTCAATGGTGGAGACATCTTAGGAATGCTAAATATTTACCTCCACTGCTTGCCTTGATGGCCCCACTATTCACTACTCTTGCTTTGACTGGCCATGAGGCCCAGCTGCTATTCTTCACGGCCTGTCTGTTAGAATAATTCAGAAATACATCAAAACCTTATCTATGGGTGATGGTTCCACCTCTGCTTATTGTTGTTTTCCCTGCAGCACTGCACACACTCATCAATCCCAACAGGCATCGAGAAGGGAAACAAACACTTGAACATGTAATGCAGCCACTCCCTGGCGAATGCCAACAAACAGACTGATAAATCCTCGAAGGCCCTCTTCTATCCAATTGTACCAACAAATTGCTGCTCAGCAATGTCCATTAGAGAAAGGTGTTTCTTTTTTCTGTTGCAGTGCTGTACTGTAACACAGAAATGTCTTAAAGTTCTCAAAACAACCTCAGAGATCCTCAAAAAAGGAAAAATGTAGAAAGAGTAAAAATTAAAAAGATGAAGGTTGCAGCATGTGAAAAACTGGCTGATGACCGCTCACTGTACACGTCTCTCAAATCCCTCTAGTCTTTTCAGCAAATAAATGAGATTGAAGCACAGATCTTAAATAGCTATCACAGTGCTCCACTTCCATTATCACTGTTCAGGGAAATTAATCTAATGAATGTTTTTTAATTCTCCACAGGGATCCCAAAGCATTTGAAACAAAGCCAGCTATTAGCAATGTAACACTTGTACAAAATGAATGATTCTGCATGTAAATGAAACTGAGATTATGAATTTTACACCAGGATAGGGATAGTAACTACATGCATGGTTTTATCAATTAAACACTTAATGTGACTGGACTGTTTCTTTAATTACTGCTGATCCTTCATGATTATAGCTAGAAAACATCAGGTTTTACAAAACACCATCTAATATACACAAAGAGGGACAAGAGAAATGCAATAAAGCAGCCATCAGTAAGCCATTTAGATCGCAGGTAAAGGACCACAAATCGCTACTAATGTACAGGATGTTACATTATCAGAGTAGCTGATGTCTGCACCGAACCACAGTACTGAAGTCAACAGCGTAGTACAGTGTGCCACTCTTTCCGTTCTTGCCCTAGCACTGATGCAATGTTAAAACTGCACGCATGGACCTGTCGCAGCTATGCAGCCTTGAAGGTACTGTTAAATACTTGCCTACACAGGCAAGAAGTGGGAGTGGAGAAAAATGTACTTAAAGATATAAGGAGACTGACTCTAAATTGGGGACACAGTGAACTTCTACACATGAACAAATAAAAACACAAAATGACATATTTGGATGTTTGTTTAAGATAATGGCGTCTCTTTGTAGATTCTGTCTTAAACACAGGATTACAAAGAGATAAAAACTAAGCTAAACTGATGCATGTCCACATTAATGAATAAGTTATCTGCAAAGAAACATAAATTGAAAATATTTAAGGTCCTTGAACAGCTTTTACTTTCAACATTTTTTAATTGCAGCTGTCTTCAATACGACAATCAGATAAATATCAGGTGTCCCCAATATGTACTCAGTTTATTACTTTTTAAAGTTTTTTTTTTCTTTTTTTTTTAATTATGATTAAGCAAATTGTTTCAAATGAATAATGAAATCTAGATGATGTTGAAAAGGATAAAAAACTGATTTTGCAGTTATGTCAGGGTGTGTTGTGTTCGTGCTGATGGTTTCCTTGGGGAGATCTCCATGTTGGATGCTAGGTGAGGTTAAAACCTCTGTGGAAAATTAATAGTCTCTGCTAAGTCTCTTGATGGTATCTTTCCCTTTTGTTATCATGAGTGCACAATGCATACACAAATACAGAGAGCTTTTAAATGCTTCTATTCTAACAAAGTAAACAGATTAATGTGGTAGAGCAGTGTAGATTTGTTGCATAATAGCCAAATACTTTGGGTTTTAGTTTTGTTAAATCTAGATAACCCTAAACCAAACCCTTAACTGACTATAACTCCATCTTTCATCAAAACAATTTTATGTTTATTCCAGGAAAATTGTTGATAATGTTATTTCATTGGTAGAGTTTTCTATCGTGTGGTAAGAGGTGTATATAGAAAGTGAAAACAATAGATTGACATTGTTTTCACTGTCAAACTCTTCCAAGACCTAGAAACTGTAATTAATTTATAAAACTTGACTTTAAAGCATTCTATCAGTAAGCTGAAAGGCTCTCAAGCAGAGCAGTCAATGACTTTGTTGATATTTAATGCGATAAACACATGAGTAAAATGCTTTTCATTTTCTCTGATAATTCAGGAAACCATGGAGGCATTCAACTCCAAGGATTTGGCCATGAAGGCACAGAAGAAGATCCTCAGCAGCATGGCCAACAAAAGCACCGTCCAAAGATTTATTGACGATACCACTAGTGAAATACTGGATGAACTGTACCGGGTTTCCAAGGAGTACACAGGAAATAAAGGAGCAGCTCAGAAAGTCATTAAAAACCTGATCAAGATTGCTGTCAAGATTGGTGTGCTGTTTAGAAACAACTGTTTCAGTGACGAGGAACTAAAACTAGCTCAGGAATTTAAGAAGAAGCTCCATACAGGAGCCATGACAGCCATCAGCTTCTACGAGGTAAACCTCCAGATACTAACAACACAATATGCAAACTACATGCAGCCTTTACAGATCCAGCTCATAGAAATAAATATTTTGTTTATAACTGATTATGAAAAAGGCTTTATATATACCAAATACTTCAAATATGTTAGCAAGAAGCAGACATCAAGCATACACTTCTTGCTTGAAGTTTTCATGGTAAAAAGCATGAGTAACAAGTCTCAAACCTGCTTTATACATAAACTGTTTTGATAACATCAAGTAGGTTGAAAAAATTTGAGAATACTAATTTCAGTGAGTTGTTCTCAATGCACATGCTACCCCAAGACAAGAGAATAACAGAATTTAAATTGCATTTTGAATTACTTTTTCTTAAATTTTGATATTACCATAAAATATTAAGGGCATTTCAGTCTAAGCATGTAAATACAATTCATGTTCCATTGCTATTTGTACTGTTGCTCTCAAAAATCCACACATATTGTTAAAATATCAGACTTTTGTGATGTATGCAAATAGTCTACACATAAAATTACACATACGATGTATAATTCAACTGAAAAACAGACGTTAAAAAATTCAAAAATGTACTCATAATATGGCGACATAAACTCAAACTAATACGTTTGATTAAATTTCTGCACCTAATTTTGTTTGGTTTACAGCTCACATCAACTATATGAGGTCTGTTTAACTTTACATCTTAACTATCATAGTAGGATTTTACTGACATTTTCTAATATGTGTTCTTTTTGCTGAAGCCATTATTTACAGACATATTAATTTACAATCACTTTGTAAAAAAGGTATCAGTCAAATGAAATGTACAAACAATTCAACAGAGAAGATAGTCCTCAGTAAAACATGGGACAACACTGACATTACAGAAGCCCAGTGTTTCAGAAATATTAATAAAAACAACACAGACCAAGAGAAATGTGATTAAGGAGGCTATGAAATATCAACACCACCACTGACAGACCTGCATAAATTTCTGTCAAGCACTAGCTGTGTTCTAGAAATGTCATATATTCTCCACATGTCTGGAGTAAAGGGCAGAGTTTTAAAACAAGATGCTTTTAATTCCAAACAAATCATTCATGCCAGACTAAAGTCTCGTCAAGCTATTGCAGAATGTGCACTAGAATTATGCGCAAATGAAACACAATTTGAATCTTGGGCCACAATTCCAAGAGAAAAGTTTGACACAAAAGCAATACTGACCCCAGTATCATCATTGTCTGGGGTTACTTTCCTCAGATGGAATTAGATTTTTTGACACAAAATTCTGCAGGAATCTGTGAGAAAGATGAACATTTTATATTTTTCAGGATCATAGTGATAGCGGAGTATAGAATGGCATCATGAGAGGAATACTGAAGTTTTGGAAGAAACTAAAAATATGTGAATAGACAGTCTGATATCTGATATGTTTGTAGAACTTCTGCCAGGTAGAGTGGGAAAATATTAAGTCAAGATGTGAAATGGTAAAAGAATCAAAAGGTTGTTAAAGTATTAAAGGTTGTCCCTCTAAAAGAGTGAGTTGTTTTTTACTTGAACCGCACATGATAAACGTTCTATTATGTGTAAAGAAGCTTGAAATTACTCAAAGCTTCACTTTAAATAAAACAAAAACCTTGCACTTAAACTTTCTAAAGACATGTGTATACTTTTGAGAACAACCATATGAGATCCTAAATTTGAATTTGAAATTAACTTCAAATATGAAGTTATACTGTTAGAAAGATTTCACTGTTTGTGCACAAGAGTTAGTTCTCTAACAACGTATCTGTTGACTGATGCAGGTGGACTTTACCTTCGATAAGACCGTGATGTCGGACAACCTGACAGAGTGTAAGGATCTTCTGCTGAAGCTTGTCAACTCCCACCTCACCTCGAAATCTCATGATCGCATCAGCCACGTCTTCAACCATTACTCCGACCCTCAGCTCCTGACCAAACTATATGACCCAAACGGACCCTTCAGACCCAACCTCACTAAAATCTGTAAAGGACTCGACAAACTGGTAGAGGATGGGACGATATGACCTGTGAGGAACATGTTTCACACAATGGGAGATGAACAGGAAACACACTTAAGACTCTGGACTGGTGGACAAAATTTCTCTTTTGCTGAGTTGCTGAGGAAAGGCAATATAAGACATCTGGTTTGAAAACAAATCTGGCTCCCCTTAGCTTTTAGAGAACATATCTGATGAAGTCAAAAGTCAGGGAAATGATATTTCAATTGTACAATGTACACCGGGGGAACACATCCTGTGTAAGTAAAGCACATGAAAAACAACTTGAACGTCAACAGATTTAAACTGTTATCAGTGGTCCAAAATATTGTTGTTCTATATTTGAGACTGTATTTTTTTTTTTTTTTTACTGAGACCTAAGGGCTGTGTACAATTGTGTAAGAAAAATGAAACAGCAGTTGAAGAGTCCTACAAAAATGGATGGAGATGCCACTGTGCTGCAACACCGCCATCTGGTGGTTAACCTGTGATTCTACAGCAACAGTGCACTGCTTACTGAAATATGGAAATGGACATACAAGTAAAAAAGGGAAATAACCTCATAACAATTACAGGAACAGTTATTTGTATTGCTGCCATTGACTATACAAACAACATTTGATAAAACTGGAAAATTGACAATGGGAAAGTATTCACCCCTACTGACATTTTTCACCTATCATAATGTTACAACAATCTTGTCATGAAGTCTTTGGTTATAGATACACACAAAGTTGTACTCAGTGACTAAGTGAATGATTTGCTTTCAAAATGTTTCAAAAAATGAAAAGTATGCCATATATTTGTATGCAGGACCCCTGACTCAATACTTTTTATAAACATTTCTTTGCTGGAGAATTTTTTTTTTTCCTTCCACAGCTAGATCCTGCTTCCCATCAACTCCGATTTATGTCAGAGAAAAACATCCCCTCAGAATGATACTGCCACACATGCATGCTCGCCTGAACCAGATGGTCAATTAAGGGGTATTGCAACATCTCTGTAGGTTTGCCTTTGTGGTATTAATGGTATTAATTGATATATTGAAGAGTGGCCAGTGAGATATGCAAACCCTGTGATATTGCTTTATTGTCAAATTCTTATTGAAAGCTTGTGAACTACTTTGTGTTGGCCTATAACCTAAAATCATGATAAAAAAAATAAGTTTGCATTTGAAACATGATAAAAAGTGAAAAAAGTTCAAGATGTATTCATACTTTTGTAAGGAACTGTCTCTTCTGGCTATGTGAAGTTTTTCATTTTTGTAATAGGTAAAATTTCACAGAAGCACCAAAACTGTAAATGTTCCAGTAATGCAGGATTAAATATTAGTTTATTAAACATTGAATCACATAAAATAACAAAATGAAAAACAAAGTCCTAGCAAATAATAAAAGACGCTGTTAAAAATAGCCTAAAAACATATTTCTGTGTTTTGTCTCTTTTTTTGTGTTACCAACATACAATGTCAACCTGTTTGTGCTCTTATTGCTACAGTGAATGAGTATTTGCATTCCCTGGGTAAATGATAAGGAGTGGGAAATGCTACGTTTCCATATGCAGACATATGACTGAACCATCATGTGACAAAATCCTCATGTCCCTATTCTCTGTAGGAACAAGCCAAACAGATACAGACAAAAATACTTTTCATACAAACTGCAGTTTCCCACAAATAAATATGTGCAATTTTTACAACATTTCTACAACAAATTTTAGTTAATGACTAAGTAAAAGGGTTTTCAAATTTTACAAAGCAGCACTATTAGTAGAGATCTTTCACCTTTCTTTAATGTCTTGACCTGCAGTCTAGTCCCTTCACTATGTGTCTCTAGTGTTTTTTAATCATCAGAAAGACATTAAAGAAAATTATGTCACAGTTCAAAGATCTCATCTTCCCTTTCTTTCAGCTTCTTGGTGAGCTTAGTGGTAGTGAGGGGGACTGCCACAAGTTGGGCTTGCTGCTGAAATCTTGATGATGAAATAACACTCTGTGACCTTGTTAACGGACGCCAGTCTGAAGTTGTGCTTGAGCAAGCGGCTTCTAGGGCTGCAACACTGTAAAAAAAGATAAAAAGAAACAGATGAAAGGAAAAGCTGAAATGAATCAATGATATATACTTTGGGAAAGACTTTATACATATTCTCAAAGTCTAACTGTTAAAAGTATCTGGTAATGCACATTACCAGATACCACACACACGCAATCATTGCAACATCACCTTAGCCAACATATATAATTAACATCTGCTAATTTATGATTAATGTAAAAGTTCAATATTGACAAAATAAATGGTAGTTCTACGGTACGTGAATGGAAATGTGCCTTTTTGATGAGATTAAAATAAAATTTGTTTTGAGTAAATGGGGACACTTTAAAACAGTTATGGTATAAAGACGTGGTAACCAAAAGTACCGTTTCTCTGCATCTTTGCATCCTCTGGCTGCAGCCTCCTTAGACTGGCTGATCGAGTTATCCAGTCTTTTCAAAAAATCTCCAGGAGTAAGGTCTGATGCAGGTTCTCTATAATCCTCTGTATCACAGTTTGCCTTTCCTTCTTTATGGTCTTCCTCAGACGAATCTACCCCATTGCTGTGGTCATTCAAGTCTGATAGGACTGGGATTGACAAGGATTTCTTCAGGTATATTGAGTCGTTGGTATACAGTCTGTTTGCTCTTTTGATTAGCTCGACCTGGAAAATATATTTTCTTTGTCAGGCTTGAAGATATTTATCACATTTAATCAAAGCTTACAGGTGCATCACAATAGATTAGAATATTAATTTATTTCAGTAATTCAGTTCAAACAGTGAAATTCATATAATTATGATTATATAAAAATATAAAATATGTCAAATGTTTATATTCAATCGTTCAAATAATAAAAATTCAAAAATAATTTTCTCAGAAAAAATAATGCACATCCATATTTTATCCAGCATATGCACTTAAGGCCTTTTTTTTTTTTTTTTTTTTTACAAAAGCTTTCAGCTTATTAGCATTATTAGGTCTCTGCATTACTCCATATATTCTCAGTAATGTTTAAGTCAGTTTGAGTTTGCTGGAGAATCAGTAATACTATGTCTATTAAACAAACAATTATTACAAGACAGGGTAGCCAGGTTTCAAGTCATGCTGGAAAACGTATCCATAAAGTTTGTATTTTAGAAAAACATAACTTTACAGTGGTATTTTGTTAGGTAATAAAATGCACCTGTACAGGTTTTTAAAGTGCTGGGTGATGCATTGTGTTTTCCAAAATACAGAAGGCAAAGTTTCATTCTTGTTTTAACAGTATATAATACTTACAGTCACGCCATACTTTAAAGCCAGACCCTGAAGTGTCTCCCCTGGTTTAACTGTGTGTTCAATGAGTTTCTGGCGAACCGGAGAAAGCGAAGAGCGAGTTAAGCTGCCATACGATCTTGTTCGGCTTCCGCGAAGCAGGCCGCCTCCCCCGAATGGCAACGACGGTCGCTCCCCGGACATATTCCAGAAACATATGGGTTGGTAGCAGCCAGAATGGAGGTAGAATACAGTTCCCAGTGAACTTTACATTTGGTAATCTCATAAGAGAGCGGGTTTCTTTCAACTAGAACGTATGCTCAAATGTTAAACTGGCAGTTTAATAAACCAGGTTAGCTAAACTGCCAACTTAATCTACGTTAAACCGTTTCTGTTTTGTAAAACCTGTTACGATATCAAAGAACAAAAGTTGCTAAATCTACCTAGCAACCATATATAGTTTATATTAAAACATTAGTTAAATGCAAAGCTTACCTGCCTATATAACATTTGAAAAGTTGCTCTGAACCCGTAAGAAACAATATTTATCTATCTCACGCAGGCAGCAGCTGTGTGTTGCCATGGCTGCCGTGTTGAGTGATTGGTCACATGATTCGTCACAAACGCTGCATTCAAGTCAGTTGGAATATTGTTTTGAGTTCGTACACGCTTAAAAACATACTAATAATAATAAAAAGCAGGCACTGAATAATATTTGCATTTTTGTATCTGAACTGTCTATTGTAATTTAATATATTAATGTGTTGTAATTAAAAGTTACTCAAATGTTAGTAAACGTTACTCAAATGTTACTAGATTTTTACCCATTTGACAATTTGTTTGCGAACGCATCACGGCTATCGGAAGTAGCTTATTAGCTAATCTGTTTTGAAACCTGTTTTTAGATTATTGCTCTATTTATAATGTCGTTTAAAAGAGAAGGAGATGATAAAAGTCAGCTCAATATTCTGAAGGTAACAGCTCATTTAACACGATTTTCCCTGTGGTAAGATTATAATGTAACTGACGTTAAATGTTAAAGTTAGCATCCTTCTACTAACCACAGTGTATTGGTTGTATGACGAGCAGCTTAAAATATTTGTTGATATCCAAATTTATTAAAACGTTTTCCAGAAACGTCGTGTGGCAGACCTTTTGTCTAATTTTATTCCGGAAGATGAAGCGGCTCTTATGAAAAATGGAAGGTAAGTTATGCCTTAAAACGCGTTTGTAACTAAAATCTAGTGGATTCAAATTGGTAAAGTAACAGCTGTCTGTTTGATTTCTAGATACACTTGTCTTGTATGCTCCTACCGTCCCGTGTTTGATACGGTAGACATGCTGACAGTTCACAGGCAAGGAAAGAAGCATCTAGAAGGTGAGGATTCCCAAACAAAAATTCACTTTAGGGAGCAATGTTTTCACTCCTTTTCGAAAACGGATTTGAGATTTTTTTTTATTTATTTATTTTATGATCAGCATATTAACTTGTCAAGTTTTTATGCTGTGGGATAATAAAAATAATATACATTTCCTAACGTTTTTAATTCCCATCGTCCAAAACCTTAGGACAGCAAAAATGTGCAATATGCTCTATGTTTATATTGCAAAAAGAAAATGTGCAGTCCTTCTTTTATATCAATGATCCTATTGGTACTTTACATGAGCCAGTCAGCCATCAAGAAATGGATTCCTTTGACACCTAGAAATTTTGCCCATAAAGGTTTTAAACAGTCAGTATCAAGCTCTCACCAGAAACAAGTCCAACATTATGATTAAATAAACATTTAACTGAGTCTCTATTACATTGTTGATAAATGAAAAATACCTTCGTATGATATTTTGATAGTCAGTGATAGTCAAGATAAATTTCAACTTATTTAATCAGAAATCAGTTTATTAAAGCTAGTCTTAATGAATAGCTTTTTTTTCATTTTATTTATACCGATATAATGAATAGTAAATGTCAATGTTATTGTAATTCATTATATTGATTAGTTAGAAAGCTGTATTTGTTTTCCTGGTGCATTTTCAGGATTGAAAGCATTCTACGGCAAGAAAGCAAAGCTGAAGAATGAAATATCGAAAAGACAACATGAAAACTATATCCAGTCTGAAGAAAGACAACAGGTTGGTGGTTTTCTCCATGTTCACTCTGTTCTGTGTTCACCACTCAGGCATAGCATTTTGACTTAATGCTGTTTGGGTCCTCCTTTAACAGACATAGGGTTAAATGGGGACTTTGGGTTAATGATTCTTGTGAATGCTCTTTAACAGTTTGTGAAGGATACATAATCTACCTGAATGCAACAATTTAAGTTTTCCAAAAAGATTAGAGCTCTAAAACTTAACTTTGAAACTATGACATTTTTATAGCATTTTTCTCAGTTTCACATGCTGTTGTTGTTTTTGAATGACAAGCATACCTACTGTTGCTGAAAAAAACATGCAACTATAAATTGTGTCACATTGTTAAAATAATCATAAGAATATGCAAAGCATTTTATTTATGTTATTTACTCTAGGCTTAGCAGTTAAACTCCAGGGAATTAATTTTGAATATAATTACCGTGGGACATATGAAGATGTGTGGGAAATCTGTAGGCAGTAGTCAGATTTACCAGAGGGCAAATGAATCATCATCAAAAACATCATGAACTCAATGAGCTGTCTTTGACTAACACTTTTAAATCATGTTGTTTTGTGTGAAATGTGTTACGTGGTATCACTGGGAATGTCTTCTGACTCTGACAAATTGAACCCTGCCATACATTTTAAAGCAGTTTGATGCCTGAATGTTGCATGCCAGCAGATTATTTACCAGAATAGTTGCTTCAGTGAGCTCATAGCAGCATTTGAGAGAGAATGTAATTTAATAAAAAGAGTTCTGTTGTACTTTCAGGAACCCTCCAGTTCAGCCCCTTTACTGGTACAAACACAGAAGCTCACCCATCATGCTTTACTAAAGACTGTCCCGTATAACAGCTGCCACAGAAAAACCAGGTGTGTCTGTGTGATGTGCAGTCTCCTTTTATTTTATTCTCACAAAGAATAGCTCAATTTAAACTATAGCTTATGTCATTCTTTCCAAGTACAAAACCTGAAAGAAGATCTATGAGTACTGGCTCAGGTCCCAGTGGAAACCTACACTGCAAATCTCCATCTGCATCCTGTAAAACTGAAGTTTCAGAAATATCAGCAAGCAACCATCATGACTCTATTGCAGGTAAAGTCTCTCACTGGAAATTAATGTGCTAATTTTGTTTCATTTCTGAAGTTATTCATTTTTCTTTCTTTTTTTTTTCATGATGAATCATCATCATTATTAGTCAAAACAGAAGACCAGGCTGCATTAACACAAGTTGCAGAACCTCTAACAGCACAGAGGAGAAGGGAAATGGAGCACTATCTCAAACTGAAAAGGTTAAAAACATTTTTTTCTTATTTCCTCTAATTGTTGGAACCAAAGCAAAGCAGCAGAGTGATTGTCATTTATTTCATAATGTGTTGTTTGTTTTTTTTGTTTTTTTCTCTTTTAAGTGATGGGTGGGTGCAAGATCGTAACGGCCAGTGGGTCAAAGATGAGAATGTGGAGTTTGACTCAGATGAGGAAGAACCTGCACCTCTTGTTCCCTTATCTACAAGCTAGTGTCACAACAAAGAGCTGTGAGATGCCCCTTATTGTACCACAGTGGTACGCTTGAGCAACAATTCTGTTTTGAAGAACTCAATTCCCATCAGTGAGGACATTATGAAACTAACGAAACAATTTTCTGGTCTTCCATCAGAGTGTTTTGCTTTTGTTTTCTGATTCTTTAACGTCCTTTTTTCAGATCCGCTGTAGTGGGCTGTTTAAGCAACTATGTTGTCTTTGTTTTCCTTTTGAACCTTTATGACTGCAGTGTCTTGCTTGACAAGTTGTTGCAACTCACCAGCACCGCCTGCATGTCAACAGACATGTTTTGTGGGCCGTAACCTGCTGGTGTGAAATAAAGTCACAAGAAACGGGAAGAAAACAGTGTTGCAAATGTTTGCGCAAGATAAATTCCAAATAACTTTTAACATTTCTATTATGTTTCTTTAATACATATTACTCTCATCTACTTTTACTTTGGGTGTTTACAGCAATATATCAGGTATGCATTTTAGGCTTCTTCCTAACAGGTTTCAAGTCACAAGTCCACCCGTGCATTAAGAATGTCAGTTCTGTTTAGCAATAACAGCCGTTCTGTCACTGACCCTTCAAGCATTTTCATGGTTTAAAAACTACAGAATATGCAGCATTTTTCTTCCTCTGTTTAACTCTGTGGCTTTCCAAATGCACAAAAGTTATTTCTACTTCACTTGCTGAACATTATTGAATAGTAATACTATTACTTCTACTAAAATGGCATTCAACAAGCACATGCATAAAGTCAAATGATTGTGAATTAGCTTAAAAATGTAAACTTGCTGGATCCATACAGGAATCGACAATGGATAACTTAAGAGTTCAGGAGCAAAATGATCAAATTTAATTGCTCAAAGAACTTTAAATCTACTCAATTGTCATATTGTAAGTGTAATCTATGCTAAACCATTCTAGTATTTCACCCAGCCGTTATCATGTCTGTTTTCAAAGTTTGAGATCCGAGTTGTAGACATTTCCACTTTCACACTTAGTATTTAGATTATTTTCTAAATGTTAATTCTCTAATACCTAATTCTGTTGTCTGCATGATTTTTAGAGCTAAATTTGATTAGTTTAATACATTTGAATTACATTTTGTTTCATTGGGGTCAATATGTCTTAGTTTGATTCACTGTTCATTTTCTTCCCCAATAATCGTCTTTATTAACACAGAAATGAAAATTTATTAGGATCAGTAAAACTTTAAGTTTAATCATTTCCAGAAATACTTGTATAGGTTTCCATGAGGAGCATGCTACTCACAACAATACTGTGTCAAAATCATAACAAGCCAGATGTGACGCCTGGTCTCATTTGTACAAAGACAAACAAAAAATGTTTTAAAGAAATAAAAAAAGTAGTTGGCATAAGGATCTGAAGTGGTTGAAATCCTCAGGTTAGCAGCTGCTTCTGTTTGTAGACGGCTGGATTCACAAAAGTGCAGCTCTCTTAAAGTCGGTTCTTATATTTGGAACAATGTAGCCCAAGCTCAGCGGGCTAATTTCTGTTTTGCATCAGGGTCAAGAAAGGGAGGGCACAGGGTATAAAAAGCTCTGGTGTTTGGGAAAAGTCAGTGGATCAGGGAAAAATTCAAATAATTTGATGTGATTAATTTGTTCTTAAATTTCAGTAATATTTTGAAGTTATATATTTTTGCCATTCAGAGAATGTGATCCTAAGAAACATTTTGTGACTCATAGAAATAGATTCACCATAATTTCCATATGTGCAAAAGTATGTAGAAGAAACAAAATTAAACTTGCCAGAGATCTAGAAAAAAATAGTCCAATAGATATTTTTTTTATTGAAAATATTTACAGTTTCCCTCCTCACAAAAGATTTAGCACCACAAAAGTGAAAAAGTTTCCATGAATCAAATAAATTTCTGTGATGATGATGTTGGTGATGAACAAATTAAATCTCAAAAAAGACACAGCACATTTGATCACATCATTTTATAATGAATTCAGCAGTAAATGAAATGAAATGGTTAAGCAGGGAGGTTGGACATGGTTCAGATTAATTTGGGATGATTGGTTAATCTCTTTCACACCCTTGATAGAGAAAGCTGTCACATCGCTGTCATCAGACATCAGAGTCTTTTCAGGCTCTGAAGGACTTAAGTGTTTCTCCTGTTTGCTTCATCTCAGTCTCTGTTGGCGAACTGTAAAGCAAAGAGATCTTAGTCACATTTTCACTCTGTTGCAGTTGCTCCAACAAAAGCGATTTTCTTTTCAAAATGGGAAATGTAGTTCTGACAAAAAGTTTAATCAAAATCATTATTTCTATTAGATTTTTTTTGTCTTCTGTTCACTAATTTAAATTAATTAGAACGAAATGAATATACAACAAGTATGATTGTGTTACAGAGTTTTTGTTAGTTTTTTTTTTTTTTTTTTTTTTTTTTTTTTTTTTTTTTTTTTATTTTTAAAATAAAAAAAAAAAATAAAAGGGTAANAATATAAAAAAATTTTNAAAAAGTCCCTT